ACGGACACTACACGCCATGGTATTTAGCCTCCTTGTTAGAGCAACCAACTCAAATGCAGAAAGTCGCCAGTTTGATTGTGATAATCAGTGATAATGTGGTCATTGTTACACATCTTCCACCAAGGTAGTTTGGCTGCTGGTTTGAAGCCAGAGCCTAATTACAAAATGGTAACATCTAAAAACCTAAAGCACCAGCTCTGAACCAAAAAAAAAAAAGGTTCTCAAGTAGCACCAAAACCCTGCTGTTCTACAAGTAATGGTACATTCCAGATAACTCAGAATTGGAAGTTTTCCTACTTCCTACTTGGAAATAATGTCTAGAATGCGAATAGAGATCTGACATCTGACCAGTGAGCTCAGGGCAGATCAGAGAATCCCGACTTCAACAAAATGCTTCATTCAATTCACAGATGACAGCTAGTTCTGCATAGTGAAACATAGAAAGGCTATTTCTGATATTATATTAGCTTTCAAGTGGATTAATAAATTATAGCTTTGTTTTTTCTCAGCTGTATTCAATGGGCAGCTAGCATTTTCTATTCATTTAGTTTTAGCCATAATTGGCATAATAAAATTAGCATAATAAAATTGGCATAATTAAATATTTACATCTCAAGTAGCAAAAATGCAACTGTGAGACACAATTGACTAGAATGCATTGAGGTCGGAAGTGGGACATTTCACCATTGAAATTTGCACGTCCCACTGTGTCTGGAACGCAGCATCAAGCCTGGTTTATACTTCTGCGTCAGGTGACCGGCGTCACCCACGGTGCATGCAACGTGCATAACCGTGCATTTATACTTCTGCGTGCTGTCTCTGTTGGTCTACATTAACACTTCCGAAATGCTAGTTGACAGTGAGGTGTTTATGTTCCTCTATGTCGAGTTTCTTCACTGGTATTTTGTTTTTTCGCTTCTTAAATGTACAAGTGGCTCAAACTTGCTCATTTTGAGGCAGGAACCAGCGGACGTGCTACAACTTTAACTATGAGGTAAACACAAAACAAAACTTTCCATCCAGAGCTCCTTCACGGAACTCCACACTTGTAAACAATCGCTCCATCTGGCTCGTGCAGCTCTCTGTGCCGCCCAGACTCATCAGCGCTACCAAGCCGACCAATCACAGACCTTGCGCTTCATGTCGGTGCAACGTGCACGTCAGCGACTCCAACGGCCATGGCGTAGGGCTATGCGTCAATGCATATCCGGCGCTGTAGCATACACGTGGGCTTGACGCAGAAGTATAAATCAGCCTTAAGAACAGATCTCCTTGCGTCATGGACTGGGGGCAGGGTTAAGGTTGATTTATACCTTTGCGTCAAACGCACGCATATGGTGTAGAGCAGCCCTTGTCGTGGTTGACACCCCCACTGATGCACACCTCTCAAAAATAATTTAACTACACTTTACAATGACGCGTATCACAAACGCTGTGATTGATCGGCTTGGTAACGGTGACGAGTGTAGGCGGTGGTGAGAGCCACGAGAGGGCTGTGAGTCTGATGGAGCGAGTGTTTACAACTGTCGAGTCCCATGCAGGAGCTCCAGATGGAAACTGTTGTTTTGTGTTTACCTTATGATTAAAGTTGTTGCACATCTGCCAGTTTTCTCCTTTGAATAAATTTTAGCTACTTGTACATGAAGATAGCACTCAGAAAAGTCAAAACTCCCATGAAGAAACTCGACACAGAGGAAAATAAAAACCTGCAAGCTATTGTTTCAGAACCATTATTGCAGAGCAACACAAACAGCACGAAGAAGTAAAAATGCACAACTACAAGCAAGGTAGATGCTGTGGGTCATGGCGATCACTCAATACAGAAGTATAAACCAGCCTTTACTGTAAACAACAAGACAAAATAAATGTTTTGAATGTTAACTTTGACATAGCAGTGAAACACAACGCTGAACACATTATTATCACTTGCAATTTCTGTCTATACAAAATACTTAGGCTGGGGAATTAATCATAGGCGACTTTCGTGCTAATTTTGTCAGTAAAGCCTATACTTGCAAGTGTCCAGCACATGCTTTCAGATGGAGCAGCACTTACTACCTATAGTTGTAGTTCACTGACAAGCTATAAAAAAATCACGTTCAAAATTGAAAACAGTTTAATCAGATAATAAAATTAAGATGATAGTTCCCTGACAGCTGATTTGCATAGCTTTTTAGCGAACTATGACTGTGGGTAGACAATGATACACAAAAATACAGCATTTAAAAACATTTGTTTTACTCCAAACTTACTTCATAACTTCAGTCGAGTGTTTGAAATAAGTGAGATAATTCAGTAGTCCTGTGATTATTAGTCATGTTGAATCAGTAATAATGCAATGCTATGGGCATTTCACACAGGAGCGCCTTCTGGCTTTCAGAGAAGATTTACTACTGAACACACACCCGTGCTTCCCTAGCCAGGTGTGCATGACATTCACAGGTATGACCAATCACGTTTGCAATTTCATTTCAATTAATCACCCAGCCCTACAAATTATGGCATGCTGCATGAAAAAGTCATTCTCTGTTGTAATCCAAACTGGTGACAACATTAGCTCTGGTCTAGCACTAATGGGAAACGGGTATGTGACAACCAAGTGTGTTGGAACAGCCCTAGCAATATCACTCTTAACAATGTCTGCACACATTCAGAAAGTCCCTTAGTCTCAACATTTATTTATTTCCACCATTGAGAACCCAATGACCCATTTCACAAAGCCAAATCATCTTCTAGACAAGGTTAAGCATCCCTCATCTTGAAGAAACTGCAGGTTAAAGCAGCTCAATTAAGATCAATTTATTTCAACACAGAGGAGGACGTTCATTTTTATTTGGTGATTCCAGATGAATCATGACAGAATGACCACTGGAAATTGTGTCAAATGAGCTTCACAAAAGGAGCACATTATTGTATTACAAACAAATTCTGAAAAGGTTATAACCATAACTTTATCAATTGATAATAACTTTACCTAATTAGCTAGTAACTAATAGCTTTTGACAGTTAAAGTTATTAAACAAACTTATAACCTGCAGTAATATAGTGTATAGGTAATGTCTATTTGTACATGTCTGTGTATTTAAGTCAATGTGTTGTCCTTGAAGTCTTCAATGGTGACAGATAGCTGAATTATCTGCTCTGCCAGATTGGTGAATAAGTATGAATGAGAAGAACAATTAATCCAGAGAGGTTCAGTACTTTTGCTTCTGCCAGTCTCTCTGCACAGTGCCAGACCACCAAAGACAGGGTTTAGACCACGGCAGCACACACATACATGGGGGTGGCACACCACTAGCTAACCTCAAACCACACAGACTACAAGCTGTAGAACCTCCTACCACTTCAAAATAAAGTCAGCCCAATGTTTGTCTGCAGGATCTTAAGAGGAAAGAATGCTGGTGTGCTAAGATAGAAGCTCAACGTCAGCTTTCTAATCTGCTCTCTGAAATCCATACAGTGGGTAACAAGCATCCAGATTAAATCAGCTGTTCCATTAAAACCAGACCCAAGACTGCTCTTCAGAAGAAATGCACAAGCAAACATCAGTGCATGTTTACATAGTAACAATGTACTAAAAACAGAAAGGTTTTTCCCTTGCCATTTTTAAAAAACATTTTGTGTACAGACATCAGTAAACCATTTCACAGGGGTTAGAGAAAACAACTGAAAATGCTGCAATATTCAAGCCAGGACAGCAGTTGGTGATCTCTCTTTGTGAAGAAACACTACAAACTCAAACATGAAATTAAAGCTGCAAGCAGCGATGAAAGGGACCTCGCACCCGGGCTCACCGCCGCCCGGTGGCCTTAGGATGACAGACAGCAGTGAACAATAATCATTTAAGCTGATATATATTGTGCCAATATGTTCCTCAAAATCAGTGCTGTTTAATGAGTAATCATGACTAATCTCTTACAAAAGAAAAGTTTGTTTACATAATACATGTGTGTAGTGTATATTTAGTATGTATATTTAAATGCACACACATACTTGAACTGTAAAACCAAACAGTCAACATTTTCTCCAAACACAAAAAGAACAAAGCACATGTTTCAAGTGGACGCAAAAAGGTGACAGATGCTGCTGTGCCATGACTATTGCTCAGTGAAGTTGTAGGTGATCTTTGAAAGGTGAGATTTGTTTGTTTATTTTAATATCCCAATTCCTGTGTCTTTAGCATTTATTAGCCTAAATAACCATAACCTAAATAGCCAGGTCGTTACATTTTAGGGTCCTCTTGAAGCATGTCCATTGTGTTGTGAGAAAATGCAGGCATTTTCGTTAAATATTTGCGTTGTGAGAAAATGCAGCTTGTTTTAATTGTTTGTTCGCTTTGTATAAAAATGCAGAGCGTTTTTTTCAAAAATGTGTTTGCGTTGTGAGGATTTGGAGCACGTGTGCTGTCAAACGGATTTGCTGGCATTTTTTTTTTTGTAATTGCATCACGTTAAGCTCTCTCGGCCACCGTATAATAAAGCCATTGAAGCAGACAGATATGAATGAAAATGACTAAACATGCAGTCTCCTCTTGTAAATTTCAGAGAGCATCAACTGATTGGCATAATCAGGACACCCTGCACATACAATGTCACCAATTTCCCTATTAGTTTTTATAGACAAAGACAATAATGGTATTGTTTTAAGCATTTTTCAGAAGTTTATGTTTTCAAAATGTAAACAAAAAGTTGTTTGTTTTTAGTTGAAAATTATGTTGTCAACATACATAAATAAGAAACACACACCAAATATTATACCTGTATACAACTCATGTCAAATGTCCATCACATGTAGTCCTAATTGAAAATATAACATTTCTGTGTTTATGTGTATATTTGACTTTATATGTATAATGTTATTATTTCTAAATAAACTTGTTTGTTTAAAAGTCATAAAAAAATTAAACCAAACACATTCACCAAACCAAAAAGCAATATTAAACATTAAAACCAGGTTGGTCTCCTAAAAGTGTGCAGTAATTGATAGCTGGAAATAATCACCTCTCCACTAAAGGTTTCGTCCCCAAAGGTGCGCGCACCCATCAAGAGCAGCAGAAGAGAAAACACAAGAGTCCGTCTCCACAGCAACGTGAACGGGTCATCCCACAACACAGCCATCATTCCCACCGGGATCAGTGATGCTGGAGTCTCTTCAAAGTCCAACCGCGGAGAGTTCAATCAAACTATAACCAAAAGCACCAACAAGTCCAATGCGCTCAGTTTAAAACCAATGGCATGGCGTGTCCTTTCTGCAGACGCGCGCACGGCTCTTCTGTGCAACAGTCATTCGGTGAGATTTGACTCGTACCACAGAAGTCGTCAAAGAGGTCCGGCGCTCTGGCTGAAGTTTGAGAGTGTGTCCGGTATCATATCCCGCGGGTGCGCCCACTTAATGCCCGTTTCATCCCACTCACGTGGTTCCTATAAAACGAATTACAACTACAACCTACTTCAAAGCAGGCGCTGTGCAAACTTACGGCGCAATTTCCTCTTGTAGTTTGAGTCTGTAAACGAAGCATGAATACAGCGCTGTTGCAGCAGTTACTCAAGAGAGATTTGGGTTCTTCGGGCTCGTACAAGAGCGCCCAAATTGTTAGCAGATGACGGCGACACCTGCCTTGGATCACCGCCCTGCTTGTAAAGATTTAATATGATAGTTTCTTCTCGATAAACTCCGCGTTTCTCTCAGTTTTCTTGGACGGTTTCCAGGTGGTGTCCGCCGCGCGCGCGCTGGTGGCTCGTGACGCCGCTCATGTGTGCAGTGACTCGGACTTTGTGCCGGATCCTGCGCGCGTCCCGCTGGAGGAGGAGCACAGCGACACGGACATCAGTACAGTGTCCAGTGCCACCTCCAGTCTGGACAGTTACCAGAACACAAACACATAAATCCATGCATTGCACTAGAGCGCTATAATAAAAAGGTAGTCAGTATCTTGTCACTTCATTAATATTTTTGCTGCCTGTTCAAACTACTTATTTAAAATAAGCCGAGACAACACAGTTCCTGAAATTGTTTTGGGGACAACTTAATTCTTTTAATCCACTTAAATTTGTTAAGTTAACTTATTCAATTTGTGTGAGAACAACATGAATGAATTTTGTTGGGGTAGATTGGGACTTATAGGGTGGATCGATACTGTTTCTTTAAAACAGAATAAAGAATAAATGCTGGATAAACAGTGTCACTTTTTTCTAATTACAAAATTGGGCAAAACGCTTTTAAAAAATGTTCTAAGATCTATTCTTTGAAAGTGCTAGTATTTAATGGTGTTTATTAATAAGTTTAGAATAGTAGTTTTTTTCACTCATGTTAATTTTTTTATATAATTTTTGTAGTATTGATAATATTATCACAAACCTATCATATTTTGTAGCTTCTAAATCACACGAATAACATCAAAACAAGTTGTCAATTAATTTAGTAGGCTACTATGTTTTACTGACGTGAAATTTTTATTTTTCTAAAGCAAAAATTAAGTTTAACAATAGATACTATACAACAGATACATAAACGTATGAAGATTATTAAATACAGGTAAACAAGTCAAACACAAAATAGATAAAAGAAAAATGAATCACATTTTCATTAAAAAAAAAGGTCTATTACGTTTAAAGAAGACAATTAGACTGCAACCAGACATTCAGACTAAAATCTAAAACTCAGACAGACAAACTCTTTTTATTATATCTCGACTTTTGTAATACATTTAACAAGATTGAGTGAAATGAATTAGCCCAATAATGTGACTGAGAAAACCGCTCTATTTCTTGAATGACACTCAGAACTAGATGTTGTAAACTGGTCAATTATCCTTCTAATGTCAAAGATCGCCTCCTGCCGGACTACTGTTTTTTTGCCAGGCAGAAACACTAGAAATATTAACCACAAAACCGCTATGGAAAACTGATTACATTACAGCTTAAAATTGAAAGTAATATATATATATATATATATATATGTGTGTGTAATATGTAATATGTTTATTTTTCCCCCAATTTATGTTTAACGGAGAGGAGATTTTTTTCAACACATTTCTAAACATAATTGTTTTTATAACTCATTTCTAATTACTGAACTAATTTATATTTGCCATGATGACAGTAAATAATATTTACTAAATATTTTTCAAGATACTAATATTCAGGCAATTAGGCAAGTTATTGCATAATGATGATTTGTTCTGTAAACAACAGAAAAAAAATTAAATGTAAAAAATGAGCTTAAGGGGGCTAATAAATTTGACCTGTTTTTAAAAAAATTAAAACTGCTTTTATTCTAGTTACATTTCTAGAAAATTTCCTTACTCAGTTAAACATCAGTTGGGAAATATTTAAAAGAGAAAAAAAATCATATTAATAATAATAATTAATAATAATAATATTAATATGAATATTAATTAATAATAATCATAATAATAATAATTTAGATTTTAACTATATATTATACATATTATATATATTATATATAAACACCGCAATAAACCTGTAACAACATTTTCCATTTTAGAGCTGGCGTGACTGATTTCTTGTGAAACAGCATACAGAAGTGATTTGCATATGTACCTATGAGATATACAAACATAGATATGTTCACTTGGAAAGGAAGCACAATAACAAACAAACATATTTGCAAGATCTTTCAAAGGAAAAAATCCTAGTAAAAAATTCTGTTTAGGTTCTTGATTAAACTTCATACCTGATTTTTCTAAGAGGTGTTCATCTCTGTAAAGCTGGTTTGACATCATCTGAAATGCATAAAGCATTATAAAAATGCAGGGTATTTCTATACATTTAAGAAAGCCTCCTTAAAAAGTCTTTATTAATGACATGTTTACTCCATTTTTAAATATAAGACTTTTGTAAGACATTATGTTTCTAGAAACAGCTGCCCACTGATTGATTGAATGATTGATTGACTGATTGATTGATTGATTAATCGATCGATTGATTTTAACAGAAGCAAAAAAAATTTTAGAATGATTTAGATGCATTTTAAGTAAAAAACCCAGATCATTGATGTTTGGAATATGTTGCCAGTTATATTGTGTGTTAAATGCTTTATTTATTTTCTGTAAAAAAGCAAATTGACATTTAAAAAAAATGAGTAAACCCATTGCTTTTAAAGCGATTCATTGGCAATAATTAAAATTAGTAAATGGACTATCCTTACTAAAAGTGAAGTCAACAGTGGAAGCTATAACGAATAACTCACTTTTTTTTAAAAGAGTCAACTTGTTGCTTTTAGCCCTAAAATACATGTCTGGAAATCGCAAATTATTTAGCCAGAAGCACATATGGCTGCATTTCATCTTTAAAACAAAGACTACAGGGTGGCATAATGCCGTTCCTTTTGACACTTATCAGCTGACCGTTTACCTTCATATGGACAGCTTTTCTGTTGTTGAGGGCAGTTGACCATGACAACGGGGTTCAAGTCAAGTGAAGAACTGTTCTAGAAAGCAGGTGGGACAAAAGCCAAAACAGCAAATAAACAAGTAAATAACAGGGTGAGAATCAGGGCGAGGTAAAATCAGAAAAAAATAGTAAAAAAAAAAAAAAACAGCTTTTTTTTAAGGGCATTTTTTCTGTATTGCTTTTCAAAACTGTCGGCTGGGTTCAGCTAAGTGAGTGAGCAGGTCAATCTGTGCTTTTTAAAACACTATTGGTTGAGTTTAAGGAGACGGGTCAGTCACACAGTCAGTCAAACAGTCAGTTAACAGCGGCCTCTGGTGGATTTACATGAGAACAGCTGATGTGAATGGCACTCACAAGAGAAATTTGAGATCTACAATTAATTTTTTTGTATTCTGTTTTTGTCTTACCTGCTTTCTTCAAACCATTCTTCAGTGGACTCGAACCCGTCATCGTTGTCAACTCCTCTCTGCGTGTTAAGTCCACCAGCGTACATGATAAGCTAACTGGACAAACTGGTTGCAGTGGGAAAGTCGTCCTCACGGAGGTAAGCAGTCATTCCAAAAAAGAATGGCATCATACCACCCCGTATCGTTCATTTAAAACATGAAATGCAGCATGAAATACGTACTTAATTTGCAATCTCCAGAAACGTACATACTGTAGGACTACGTTTTCAGAATGAGCCTGTGTTAAATCCCCACTCATTTCCTCTTTGCGGCTTTAACAGAAAAGATTGATAGCTATTTATTCACTTGTTTTTTTAACAATAATGGTTTTTACTATAAAAACAACTAACATTTTTGACCAGGGGTCTGTTCTTTGTACCTTGCTTAAGTGATCTAAAAAGATTTGGCAGATCCTGGATTTTTTAATCTCAATTACTGATCTCTGGCTAATTTGGTTCTTCTGTTGTGAAGGACTGATCTATCGATCCTTGACATCATGATCAGCAATGCAACAATTGGCTGACGGCAAAGCAGCATAATGACATCATCTGATTAATATTCAATTATCCATGTGGGTAAAATTACATAAAAATCACAGTAAATGGTTTGTTAAATATGACATGCAATTCATATAATTATTTTATATTGTAGCTTAATAACTTTCCATCTTTGTTGTTGGCTGCAGGCTTTACACTTTCATGTATCAAGAGTATTTAACAATTTATTTAGTTTTACTTTAGAGCGAATATTCTTTATTATACTCGCCTAATTGGCCTAAGGAATAGCTGGCTGTTTAAATTAATTTAGCATCACAAAAAGCAATTTGATATCAGTTAAAATGTCTGCAACTTTAGCGAAGCATCAAACCATCAACATATTAGCTGTCAAAACATGCACAATGTCTAATATTGTGCATGTCTAATATTATACACAAATTAAAGCTGGTACCTTAAAATAGTATGCATTTGTGTCTAAAAGTCTATATTAATAAATGTTCTCTTTGATACCCTTGGTGAGAATCACTGTTTTTGTACTTTCATTTCAGAGTGCAGATTGCATAAGCTTTATTTATATATATATATTTTAAGCTTAAACTGAAACTATATATTTTTTTAAAAACTATTTTACAAATTTTCCAAGAGTATATAATTACTACTATAAGAAAATGTCAGAATTCAGTACATACTTTTAGTATTACCTTTGCTTCAAAAGACCCAATCTAATCCTGTTTATATTAAATAAACCTGCTCCCAAGCAGGTTTGAGGTACCAGACCTGTTGTTTTGACAACAACTCTTGCATAAGTTTTGACGAACGAAACGATCCTGGATCATGTCAAATCATCAAATCAGGCTAACTGAGTAATCCACATACGAAGAACAGACCCCAGATAAATAGTCAGTCCTAATTAATTTATGTAGCCATACAGAAGCAAAAACAAAAATATCCCCATTCTATAATATTAAAAAAAGGACTTATCTTAAAGGGATAGTTCATATTGAGTCAATATGAAAATTAACTCAGTATTTACTAACTCTCAAGCGGTTTCTATTATGAGAACGCAAAAGAAGATATTATGATGATGGAAATTGAAAACCAGTAACCACAGACTTCCTTAGTAGCATAAACAAATGCTCTGGAGGTGAACCGGTTTGAAACATTTTACTAAATACTTTTGTGTGTGTGTGTGTGTGTTCAAGAGTGAGTAATTGATGACAGAATATTCAGTTCTGTCTCAACTATCCCTTTAACTGAAACCATGTAGTTTGCTTTTAACAGCTGAACTGTTGAAAATCAGCAAACGTCAATCTGTCTTTGCATTCTTGAGGTTCTTCCACTTGTCATTACCGAGGCGTCTGTCTTGTGCTTGTTTCTACTTCTAAAAAGCTTTAGTCTATTTGAACAGTCTTGTGTATTAAAGGACTCGGGTGAGCGTCAGAGATAAGAGCAGAACTGA